CTTCAATCCTATTGATTCATTTGCTGCTTATGACAAGGAAAACTTGGTTAAGCTTGCACAATTTTATCCAAAGGATTTCACAAAATTAGATACAAAGGATTTGCACAATTTATTTCATTTGTCATGTAATTCATTCAAACCATTTATAATTTAGATATCTTTACTTTTGTGCTACTGTTTGTACCTTTAAACATGTCATTGCCACTATGTTGTTATGCTATTATTTATTCTTTAAATTTTGCCAGTCTAATTTTTTGAGTTCTGTAAGATTTTTTTTCAACTTTGAATACCCTTTGCTGAAATCCTGGCTCCGCCACTGCTTGGCTGTAGCACCACGGGGGAGGTGACTTTGCGACAGCAGTCATGGCTCGGGAAGGCAACAACAATGGTGAGGAGAGTGGATCCGCCGCTGCCAGGCGGAGGGAGCCCGGATCCACTACCGTGGGGCCTTTGTCGTCGTCGTCGTCGTCATCGCGGCCATCTTCCTCTCTCCCTCGTGCATCGGTGGTGGAAGTGGTGGCCAGCCCTCGGGTGAGTTGGTTTGTCGGACCTCAAGTGGATCTCGTTGTGGCTGGCCTCCACCTCCCTAGCTTGCTGATGCTGACGATAGTGCACTAATTTGCCGGGCCTTAAGTCGATCTTGTCGTTGCCGATACCTCCTGATGATGTTGGACAGGACAAGACTAACGCCGGGATGCCGACAAAGACGTTCTTGCTGATTTTTGTTGTGAAATTTCTGTGTGGAATGGTTGAGTTTTTTTTTATGAATTTTGGTATGGTGGAATTGCATTGTGAATTCTATGAAATTTGATGATATTTGGTATCTGCCCTATGAATTGTGACTATGAATTCATTGTTGTTGATTTGTGAATTTGGGATGTGTGATTGTGATCATTGAATTCATTGCAGTTGATTTGGGGATTTTTGCAAATGCATTTTTGTATTTTGCTTTTTTTTGCAACGAAAATCCTTATCACTAGCGACTGGCTTAATGTTGCCGCTTGTGAAGATAATCTTAGCATGCAGCTAGTCTTCCGCTAGTGAAAAGGCTGTCACCGCTTGCGAAGATTCTTTTTCACATGCGACTAGTCATTCGCTAGTGAAAAGTCTCGATTTTCACTGGCCATTACTCGCAGGCAGCCGCCCTCCGCTGCCAGCGAAATTTTTTTTTATCGCCAACGAAAACCTTTTTCTTAGTAGTGAATAGGCCATTAAACCTATCTATTCCTGTCGGTTTATGTAGATTTATAATAGTAATGCTCTTACTACCTGTTTGTATTAAAAAAAGGTGGTGATATAATATCGCTGTATGCTATCTATTATATAAAGTCCATTAAACTTTCTAAAAACGCTCTTAAACCGCCATGTGGTGTTTCTACAAATACTTCTAGACCGTCACATGCCACTATTTAATCTCACCGTCGATTTTTATTTAAATTGGTGGACCCGATACTTTAGACCGTTAGATTAGATGTACTATTTTAAAAAAAAACTATACTATGGGCATAAAAGGAAACAAAACGTAAGTAATTCGTGTACGTACGTACGTACATACAGAAAAGGAAAAATGAATCTTATCTCCTATTCACCGGAGGAAAATAAAACATGCATACCGACTTACGATAAAAGCGATTAAGTAAAAAAAAACATACATAATGTTGGTACGTAGTGCCATTGAAGAGAAAATCTATGGTTCATAAAATAGGATTTTGTACTATTTTCAAAGAAAATATATTACTCTATAAACTGATGAATATACGTAGTTAAACTATATCGTCTACAATATAAAAATTAAATATTCTATCAATGCTCTTTAAATGTCCTATATTTAAATTATTTTAGAATCATAGATCTAATTTGTGATCCAGTTGGATTCCTCTAAATAAATAAACTATTGATGTCTATATTCCTAAATACATCATAATACATGAGGTCGACATATAACAAAAAATGTTATGATAATATTTTAAGAAAAAAATAACGAATTACCCTTGAACTATTACGGTCGACCGAATTACCCGCATAAACCTGAAAACTAGACATCTTTCACCCTCAACTATTAATACCGGACGAATTACCCCTCCCCCCCTCTGACTCAATTTGGAGTGGTTTTGGTCCTAGGAGACAGTTCAGTCAGCATTTTGTTAAAAAAATGGTGGGACCCAGATATCATATCTCTTCCTCACCCCTTCATCATCTCTCTCTCTTCTCTCTCCACATCTGTCAATCAGCAAGGCTAGGGACGGCGAGCGGCGGAGGCGACTCCTCCTCACCCTCCGCCGGCGCGTGCCTCCTTGACGGTTGTGTGGCTTCTCCTCGACCTCCACTGGTGCATGTAGAGGCTGATAGTGGCGGGGCAGTGGAGCTCGAGCGGCAGGGGAGGCTCCTCCTCAGCTATCTCGGCAACCACATGTGCACTCTAGCGGAGGCCATCATGTCCATCCTTTCTGTTGCATCTCATCGTTGCGTTATGAGTGTTGCGGCTACCAAAGATGAGCACATGTGCTGGTCCTCAGTGGCCAGGTTTGGCAACACCCCTGCCATCGAGAACTCGCCCAACAAATGCGACGATAGCTCTTTCTATCATAGCATGTCGTCCCACCACGGTTCTTAATCGATCCCCACCACCAATGCCTCTCTCCGGATGAGACAGCGAGGTGGATCAATCAAGCGAGGAAGACCAGGGGAATAGAAAAAGGAGAAGGAGAAGAGCGTCAGCCGACCCTTGCAGCAATGGGAGGGAGAAGAGAGAGGCCGGGGAATGGGATTGAGGAAGGGAGGGACAGAGAGAGGTGAGAGGGGAGAGGCATAAAGTGGGTAGAGAATGTGATAGCCACGTAGGACCAAAACCACTCAGTGTTGCGTTGGGGAGGGGGTAATTCGTCCGGTATTAATAATTGAGGGTGAAAGATGTCAGGTTTTCGGGTTTACAGGGTTAATTCGGTTGACCGTAATAGTTAGGGGGTAATTCGTACTTTTCCTATTTTAAATAATTTTACGTCATATTTCAGGTGTTAAATATCACTTGACGAATATACAATGCTAATTTAAAGCTACACATGTAAAACAATTAAAAACAACACAATTTAGTTGTGTATTTGTAAGTAGATATGATTTAATTTTAATTTGTCTAATATTAAGATTCTCATTTTTTTCTAATTTATAACTATTTCATTAGTATATGATAAGTGGGCAACATAAATGTTACATAGATGTAAAAAAATTATGAAAAATATTTCAAGCCAATGATCTTGCAATAATACAACTACTTAGTCCATCATGAGATTTATAATCACGTATGTAATTTTTTCTCTTTGTCAAATTGTTTTGATAAGAAATGAACAATCAAGTAATATGCGCAATAAACCATTCATGATATATTTTCTTATAGTTGAGGAATTCCAACATATCAAGCATAGTTTTGATAACACCCTATTGACGTGACTATGAAATATACTTCAATCAATTAGTTATTATAAATAAGTTTAGGAAAATAGATTCATTCTCCAAATTAATTAATAAAGGTGTCTTCTGTGATTATGAAAAATTGGCGTTGGAAAACACCAGACGCAAAATTATAGATATTTGTCAACATATGACTAACAATATGGTCCTTTAGAGATTTTACCGTGATGGTATTTAAAAAAACCCTTTATTTAGGTTAGAAAAAACCACATATAGTACAAATGAATATGAAGCAACTCCATTATTCCATTATTGTTTCATTACCATGACACATGTTTTTCTCATAAATTCATGTCGTTATCATGGCAGTATGGTTTCAAGTAATATGTCCAAACCAGATATTAACACAATCATGTTTAAAATAGTGTTAAGATCTATGTTTAAAATATAATCTACACGTAAACATTCACAATAAAAATTCAAGCAACATTAAATAAGTGTCCTCGCATATGCGCGGGCTACCATCCTAGTTATTATAAAACCACGGTGAGATTTTAGCAGATGTTTGTTGCTTTTAGCTTCACTATTTGCAGAAGCCATTTTTCTTGAAAGACAAAGAAGGACAAAAATGAGAATAACCATCTAGACCAAAATAGTTGCAAACTAAAAAGGTAAAAAGAAGGCAGAGCCCCACGTCGCTCTGCCCCCTCCCATTCCCCTCCTTTCCTCCGCCTCCTAAGCAGCCGCCGGCAAAGCAAGGCGGCAGCAAGGATGGTGGCGGGGGCTCTCTCCCTCGCTCGTGGTCAAGGAGGCTAGGGCGCCGCCGAGACCGGAGCACAAGGGCAAGTCATCCGGTCGGCCTCAATATGCCTCACGTCCTGCTCGAACCAGCCAACAGGTCTTCTGCATGACTCTTTCCCGTCACATATGCATGCACGTCACGCGCACCACGCATCATCCCGCAGTTATTAATTAATTATGCACGCAAACGAGCAATTAATCTAGCTGCACATATGCCCGTGCATGTGCATTGCTCGTATGACTTGGTCACTTTCTTCCAGTCTTGTTCCACCATCCTCGCTCTAATCGTGACCGAGGTCGCCGCCTCTGCAACGCCCCCGTTATCGCCATCGATCTCATCGACACAATCGATCTATGCGCGATCCATCTCGTGTTTCCTCCTCCACATATCTTGTTGATATAATGCTAAAACCTTTTGTTCTGATATCACTTATTATAAAAGTTAGTCGATATAGCAAAACGACGACTAAACTTCTCAATCACTTCAGTCATTGATTACCCAAGACACGCCAGATGATTAACCAGGAACACACGATATTTGTTAACGAGGTTTAGTCAAAACTTACATCCCCGAGACTCTGATTATAGGCGCTCCTCCCCAACCAACGTAGCATCTAGCTAGCAGCTACGAGTCCATGACCTTACAGCCATCATCTCCCTACGTGTTTACGCTATATTGTAGTTGCTATGATTATGGTGCCCCCCTCTGTATTTAAGAGGTAGCCTATTCTAAAATTCAACTCTAACTATATCTTACTCCCATTCCAACTGACTAGTATATTCGATACCTATTCTAACAGAAATAAATAGTTATATTTGAATTGCAATGTCATATATTTATTATCACAAATTCAAATAAGTGCATTCTCCAATAGAAAAGCAAATCACACCAAAAGAATATCTATGTACTGGTATTTCTGGCACAGACCGTGCCTTCTTATAACACGAACATATAATATCCTTCTGATTGTAATCGGTCTGATGAAAATGCTCAATCTGCATCCATTTGCAAGGACACCTATGCACTGAAGGCTTATCTTCATTTGGTTCACTTCTGAGTTCTGAATTCTAATGCTTCGTGACTTCCTTCTTGATCTTGAGTGTACAGGTCAAAAAATGCATCACTGACAAATCGATATATAAACGGAACCAATCGATACAAGATTACAGCATCTTTTTTCCTCTGTATTTGATGGTCTTTTCAGAATTCAGACTCAGAACACTCATAAGAATGAACCTGCCACAATAGCAATTAACACGTCATTTGTGGCACACATATCTATAACATGGAAACTGAAAGAGCATTTGTAACAATTAAGATGCTCAATCTTTGTTCTTTCTTAATGGAATGGATAAGGAATTAGGCAGTCAAAGTGATTATTAGAGATGGGAGCTCAAATATAGTGAAACAACATACTTCCTCCGGTTCCATAATTTTTGACGTTTTGAATAATGACACGGTCTACAAAATACATCTTTTACTTTGCTTTTCTATTATAAGATATACAATAAATAAATACATGTTTACTTTTCTTATAGTGTTTTCAAAGATAAATCTATATATGTTATTTCAGTTCCTTTGAACTAAATATTTTTAAAGTCATTGATAACCAAAGTTCTAAAAGTTTGACCTCAATCTTGTCCAAAACGTCAAGAATTATGGAACCGGAGGGAGTACAATTTTCCACTAACAACGGCGACTGCTCAACACTATAAAATGATGGCACTAGCATGGCAAAAAGATTTTTTAAAAAAATAATTATACACGATTAATTCTCATTTTACATAAACTTGCCGTGTCAGCTTTTTTTTTTGCCACAAGAAAGATGATAACATAGTGTCAATTAATCATTTTGTCCTACCATGGCACCAAACATTATTTTATTTATGATATTTAGTTCTAGCGACCAAATTGGTCTTGAAGCAACAGTTATACCCATATAAGGACTTGGACAATAATAGGTAAAATAGGTAACAGAACCTAAGTTATTGGCTGACAAAAATACCTCATGAATCATAATCTCCTTCAGTTATCACCTTATTGGACGACAACATACAAGAAAACATCCAGTGAATTTCAGAAGATAACATATAATTTGGCATTATCACAAAACTATCGACTTAAACCGCGACATCATAAAGCTATAGATTTAGCAACAAATTTATTACAAAACTATAGATTCAGCATCAAATTTATTAAAAAACCTTCATATGCTATCACAAAACTGAGGGTTTAGTTGACTTTACCACTAAACTACATATTTTAAAAGTTTCATCAAATAAAAGTGCTAGGGATGAAACCTTAAAAACTAAGGTTTTGTGATATAATTGGTGCCAAATCTATAGTTTTTTGATACTATGTCTTACATCTATATTTTCATGATAAATTCATTGTGGTATGTAGGTAGTTTGAATAATTTTATCGAAGAATTTGTGAAATATACTATGCGTGAAAAAGATTTAGAAACATCCAGCTCTTAGTCACATAGATAATACAAAGTAGAGGATTACCCTAAGTTGATGCGGATGGTGCAGTGATTCTATTTCTCCTAGTCCTATTCCTGTTTCTCCGATCTGCCCTCACCCTGTTTCAGATACATGCCATTATGCCAATGAGAAGAATATATATATAATTAAAGAACTGAAATAAATTCATGGAAACATGTTTTCTTGGGTCAACAAAATGACACCTGAAGGCAACTCTGACTGGATTTGCTCTCCTATTCACGGATCTGCTTGGAAATTCCGCATTACCATCATGTGCTTCTTCCTCTATCATGCATGCTTCACACCATCTTCGGATTTCAAGAGTGAGTTTGGTTCTATGCCTATCTGCTGCTTTCCTGATGGAATCCTCCGCAGCCTCAACCTCCTCCCTAGTTGAACCACTACAATCAACATCAACGCAGAGTTTTTTGAGGCGCGAAAGATTCTCGATGCCATTGCCATCAACACCAGAATAATTGGCTATTGTTTCGTGAGTTCTGAAGTAAAGATGCAATGTTTGAAGCTCTGGCATGGCACCTTCTAGAAACACTAGTCCCATCCCATCATTCTTCCATATGAATTGCGACTCTCTTAAGCATCGGAATCCCTCGCTGCCAACAGTGAGCATTTTGCTGGAGCCATCTGTCATTTCCAGCTGAAGATATAGCAGGCAGGGCAAGAGTTCAAGAGAATGGAGATCTTCCTCTCGCACAATGTCAACTTTCAGTTCCAGGTGGACTAGATTGTACATAGATGGGTTGATCCATTTTGGGATCCTAGAAATGTAGCCAATGACAAGTTTTTTGAGACAGCCAAAAGTTAGGTACACTCCCATTAGTGAGTCCAGGGAACAACCTTCTTCAGGATCAATCTTTAGAGATTCAAGGTTGAACAACTCGTTGAGTGATGAGACCAAAGAATCTGTGTACTTCCTTACTTCATCAACCATGTCAACAGGTTTAGAGAAAGTTATGTTGAGTACCCTCATTTTGATCAGCTTGCTGAGCTCTTCCACAAATTTGATGGAGTTACAGGACATTGAGACAAACAACAACGTCTGTAAGGCCTGCATGTGTCCAATTTCATCAGGAAATTTTACACTTCTGTTAACAAGCAGGCGTTGCATGTTTTGTAATCTAACAGTACTGGCTGGCAATTTTTCTATGGCACACCCTCGAAGATCTAGTGTTTCCAAATACCTGAGATTATCTATCTGCATTGGAAGCTCACTGATGCTTGTACGGCTTAGATCCAAATACTTGAGTTGGTACAACATCTCTAGATTCTCAATATGGTGGTTTTCAATTGATCTACAAGATCCTAAATCCAACACCCGCAGTGCTTGGAAATCACCAAGATGAGGTATTCCTTTGACATAATCGAAGGAGATGATAGAGCGAATATGAGACAAGTCATCCCTGCTCATCCGTTCCAATAATTTCTCAATACAGTTGGACTGGTGGGCTAACCGGCGAACCTTGGTCTTGTAATCTGTAAATCTCGTTTCATCTTGATCTTTATGTAGTACGGCAACAAAGTTAATCTTGGTTGATATTGACACAATAAGCTCAAGTATCATGTCATGAACTCTGCAACTTTGCACTGTTCCATCATATTGAACATCAGCAGGCTGAATCATACTTCGATTGATAAGCTCATTAAAGTATGCACTTCCGACTCCCTCTAAAGGAATGCCACGTGTTTCAGGAATGAAACCTTCAGCTATCCATCTCCATACTAACTGTTCTCTCTCAATTACATAATCTTCTGGAAATATGCTTAAATACAATAAACATGTCTTTAAATGATTAGGGAGGTCATGGAAACTCAAAGATAATATACGATTCATATTCTCCCCTGGAGTTGCCAAACCAATAGAATTATGCACTTGCTTCCATTTTTCTGCTAACATGGGTACGTCGGCTAGAATACTAGCTAAAGTAAGTGTAGCCAATGGCAAACCTCGACACCTTTTCAATATGTCCATGGAAATCCTTTTAAGTTGAGTCGGACAACCATCATCTGAGCCGAATATTCTTCTAAAAAATAGTCTCTGCGAATCCAAATCACTCAGAGGACCCATTTTGTAGATGTGATCCTCTTTGTGGCTGCAACATGATCTAGCAACATCGACAATGCGTGTTGTTGTTATTATTCTGCTGCCTAAGTGATTGTTAGGCAGAGAACACCTCAATATATCCCAATCTCTTGCATTCCAGATGTCATCAAGAAGAACAAGGTACCTACACGCAATTTATGAAATAGTGGAATTACGCCTAACAAAATTGTCGTGTATAACATACCTTTTGCATCATCTATCTAAGCTAGCATTATAGTAAATTTTGTATTTTTAAAATAGTTACCATGCCAATATTAGTTTCCACTTATCTAGTAGAATTCCTATTTGGAATTCTAATTTAGAATTATAAATATATTTAATTAATTGATAATGTTCAAAAGATTATCTACGTTAGTAGGGTTTTTATTAATCTTTTTCCTAGGTAGGAGGAAATTTTTATTTTTATTTTCCCATTGTATTTAGTTTAATATGCCAAAATTCAAACAAGTTACTAGCTACTTTGTTTGTATTGGTTAATTGGACATACATGTTCTAATCATATTTTCACTAAGAAATTAAAGGAAAATTTTCATTTTTACAGCCCTAGACTTCAATGGAAGTTTGAAATCATGCTTAAACTTCCAAATAGGGTAGTACTCAACTTGCATATTCCAAAATGTTTACTTCATGACTCTAAACGGAAACCGAAGTGGTTTTATCATTTGTGATGCTAATCTAGTGGGCTAGACACATGATGCGGAGGCCTGGGGGTGTAAATTGCGATTAGGCAAAATCTCTAAAATTTATGGAAATTAGAATTTTCATATGTTTCAGTTTGAAACTTTCAACAAATTTCAATTAAAATATCAAGTTCAAGGAATTTTTGTTAAATTCAAACAAATGTGACTAAAATTTTGCTCTACCGTGCCTACAAACTGACCAGTGCCTACAGTCAGACCCGCCCCATGTGGTCTGACCTGTACATTCGGACTATAAACCGGGGTTTTAGTTCTTCTTTGGCTCGTTAGCACTTATAGTTAGAGTAAATTCCCTATATACCCTCGAAAACTCACTCAATCTCTTTCATATCCCTGAAATTTAGCCGATCCCTTCTATACCCCTGAAATTTTAATTTGATCCCTTCCATGCCCCTGCCGTTACATTTTCATTCATTTCACTGTTAAGTTTGGTTGTGTTGTCGAATGACAACTGCGTCGCGTCGAACGACGTGGTTCTCTCAACAGTAGTTGGAAGTAAAAACGATTGTATTACTTAGTGAGAATTTTTTTGGGAATCCCCCCATTACATGGCCCTAGGGGGCTATTTATAGTCCTATTATAGGCTCTCTATCCTCTCTAGTGTTTAGGATTACAGGGGAAGTTACATGGCTGCCCTTATGATAGGGACATTATTGAGGGCATACTATGTCCTTTACATATATTCCGTGCCACCGGAAACGGACCAATGATGTCCAACCCCCATCTTGCGAATGGCTAGATTTGTGCGATTGGCTGTAGCTCATATTGAGGTATTGTTTAGCTTCGGCCGTGCCGTTGGCAGCCTTCGCACTTCTTGATCTGCTCAACACATACTTTGAGTACGATTGGCCAGTATATGCCTTGGCGAAATACCTTGGATGCTTCTGTTCTTGTGGCTTGGTGAGCACCACACATCCCTTGATGTATCTCTTTCACCATTTCCTCGCCTTTGGCAAAAGAGACGCAGCGAAGCATGGGCTGCAGTACCCCAATTCGATATAGTTGTCCTGAGACTAACTTGTACCTAGCAGCTCGGAGCTGCAATTGTTTTGCTTCGGCCTCATCTGGCAGCCAGCCCTCTTTGATGTACCAGACGAACGGCGATCGCCAATCGTTCGGATCTTCGCCAGTTCGACTTGGTCAATCACCATGATTTCGAGGCCGTCTTTTGGCACACTTGGTGCATACAAGACATCAAAAAAGACTCCAGGCGAATGTGGCCCTCCGCAAGAGGCTGACTTTGCTAGCGCGTCAGCTTCTTCATTCTAGCCATGAGGTAAGTGTTCGACCGTTATTCCGGCGAAACTCTTTTCAGTTTGCTTCCTGGTAGTGGGCTGGCCAGAGCTGGTGGGCTTTGTAGATATTGCTTGAGCTCGTCGAAAGCTGCTTGGCACTCAGGCGTCCAACTGAACTCTCCTACCTCCCGAAGGATCTTGAAGAATGGCAGGCCTCTTTCGGCTGTTTTTCATAGAAATCAACTGAGTGCCGCAATTCGCCCCGTGAGCTTTTGTACTTGTCGTGCGCTTGATGGTGGCTTCATTTGCTGAATGGCATTGATCTTTTCGGGGTTCGCTTCGATCCCCCTTTCGGACACCAGAAAACCCAATAACTTACTCGCGTGAACACCAATCACACACTTATCCGGATTGAGTTTCATGCCAGCTGCGCGGAGGTTGTCAAATGTCTCTTGCAGGTCTGACGCATGGTCGAAAGCCTTGCGACTTTTTACGACAATGTCGTCGAAATAGGCTTCGACGTTTCGCCCCAACTGTGGTCCCAAGACCTTGTATACCAGCCTGGCGAATGTTGCCCCTGCATTCCTCAGGCCGAAGGGCATCCTGAGATGGCAGAAAGTGCCGAAAGGCGTTATGAAGGATGTCATGGCGATGTCTGCTGGGTTCATGTCAATTTGGTGATACCCGGAGTGTGCGTCCAGGAAGCTCATGAGCTCACAACCGGCAGTCGAATCGACTAGCTGGTCGATCCGTGGTAAGGGGATGTCGTCTTTCGGGCACACTTTGTTGAAGTCTGTGAAGTCGATGCGCATTCGCCACTTGCCGTTTGACTTCTTCACCAGTACCGGATTTGCTAACCACTCTGGGTGGTCGATTTCTTCAATTACTCCTACCTTGAGCAGTTTTTGTACTTTTGCTTTCGCCGCCTCTTGACGATCTGCTGACATTTTCCTCAATTTTTGCTTCCTCGGCTTAGCGTCAGGCTTGACTGCCATGTGATGCATGATGAGGTCTGGTGAAACACCTCCCACTTCGTCCGGTCCCCAGGTGAAGATATCAATGTTCTTTTTGAGCGCCGCCAAAATGCTTCCCACTTATTGCTCGCCCAAATCTTCCCCCAAGGACATGACTTTGGTGGGGTCAAAATCATCTATCTGCACCTGGGTGACTTTGCCGTGTGGAGCGGGCTTCAGCACAAGCCTGGCTCGGTCTTGCCCTTCAACTTCGACGGTATGCACCTCCCTGCCGGTGGGGGACAATGAGGCGGTGGAAGGTTGGAGCCCCTTGACGAAAATCACACCCGCTGGGCCAGGTATTTTGAGCTTGAGATAGTTGTGGTGAGAGATGGCTTTGAAGATGGCGTTGTAATTGTACGGGATATCAACAACGTCGAATAGTATTTCTTCTTCTCTCTTGTTTTCTTGTGTGCCGAAGGCGACCGTCATATGTACTTGACCCAGAACATGCACAGCTTCGCCTTTGAATCCATGGAGCGAGGTTGGCGCTTGAGATAGTGCCAGCCCCATCTTGGCGTACGTCTCGGCGAAGATGACATCTGCCGAACTTCCTCCGTCGACCAGAATGCGCCGGACTTCAAAGCCGGCAATCTCTGCCGATACCACCAGTGGATCTTGATGTGGGAACAGGACCCCCTCGGCATCCTCTGGGCCGAAGGATATTTGCTGCGCCAAATACCTTGGAGCCCTTTGCCTGCCGAGGCGATATTGTGAACCGCATGGAGTTGCATCTTCTTTTGGCGCTTTGATGACTGCGAAGGGGGATCAGATCTTGTGATAACTTGGATCACCCTTCGTTGTACATCCTAGCGCTGCTCAGCCGGGTGCGCACGGTCCTGAGCTGCTTCGCGAGGCGGCTCTTCGGCTTGAACTTGCTGCTACCTTGGAGCTTGTGTATTGTCTTTTTGTCGGATGTTTCAACACTGCTCAGTGGTGTGGGAAGAGTGTCCGTGAAAGGCGCAACATAGATCTTTCTTGGCTTTCTTGTGAAACGGTTGCTGGTGGTCGCCTGTTTGTTAAGCGTCGAACTCCTTGCGGAGGGCTTGGACATCGTCAACAACCAGTACCGCTTTGCCGGCGCGGTCGGTCCTGAATTTCTTCTATGTCATTGGGGCTTGATTCGGCCTTGGAGGCTGCCCCTGATTCGCCGGCTGCATTGGGTGAATGAGCACAGCTGCTTGCTCGACAGCTAGCGATTGAGTTTGCACGGCGGCGGCGGCGACCGCAGGGCAACTGCCTTGTCGTATTCGGCCTGAATTTCTTGCCGCCGCTTGGTATCTTCTTCGCCACATGCATAGCCGTCGATTATGCGGAGGAGATGCTCGATCATTCTTGGTTCCTTGCGGGCGATCTACCTTGTGAGTTCGCCTTCAAGCAAGCCGGCGGAAGCAGCCTTGATGACGGATGCTTCCGTTATGTCTTGTACTTGGCACCGTGCCTGCAAAGAATGGCGCATGTACTCCCTTGTCTACTCCCCTGGCCTCTAGCAAATGCCAAGAAGGTTTTGTTGGGTCTTCGGCTCCTCATAGGTGCCTCGAAAGTAAATGCTATTAGCAGGCAAATTGAAGTACCAGGATCGGGCTATGCTATCAAGCGCGAGGTAAATTAACTTCGCCTTGGTATTCTCATCGCCATGGGCAGCTTCGATTGCGGATTCGTAGATGGATAGGAACTCTTTTGGATTTGTTTCGCCCGAATACCTTGGGACGGGAGGGAACTTGAATTGGGGGGGAATAGAGTGATTCTTGAGCCCCCAACTTAACGGCAACCCCTTTTCGCCACCCGGCTTGACCATGACGCCTTGTCGGGAAGGCCAACTGAGTTGTGGGTATGAAAGTGCGAATGGCGAAGTCATGGCTTGCACATGAGGTTGGGCCACAGGGGTTGACTGGTGTCCGGCGCCGAACAGCAACGCCTGGGCCTGCTGGTTCGCCGGGATGACTTGCGTCGCCACGGTTGGGTCGATCATGGTTTGGGTCCAGGCTTGATTCGGCGGTGGAGCTGTTCCGAACCCAGCGGGCCTGGGCTGTATGAAGGTCATGGGCGCTTGAGTCGTGGCGCTGGGGTCGAACTGTGTCGGTTGGGTCTGTGGCGAAGCCCCTTGAGCTGGCTGGTTCGCCTGACTTGGTATGCCGAACTGGTTCAACAGCTGCCCAGCTGGAGCACGTTGACTTGGGCTTCCCTCAGCTGGTATGTTGTTGTTGGGTTGATTGAGCTGTTGTTGCAGAAAGGCTTGAAACTGGGCTTGCAAAGCCAAAGCTGCTTCCATCATTGCTTGTGGCGTGTGGGTGGACTGCGGGTACTACACTTGAGCCACGACCGGGAGAACTGGCGCCGAAGGTACATGAGGGTTTTAGCGCACGGCTGCGGACGAAGTAGACTTGGCGAAGTACATCGGAGCTTGTAAGACTTGTGCAACATGAGATGGAAGAGCTTGGGGCTGAGTGTATACTGTCGAAAACTGTTGGGTATAGGCCTTGGCTTGCCTTGCCGCTTCGTACGCTTGCTGCTGCACTTGCATTTGACGAAGCGTGTCTTGCGGCTTGTCCATGTTTTGACACATGACCCCCATGTCAGCTTCGCCCTAGCCTTCATGGTTGGTGTTGGCTTACGAGGCGGTGAGTGCGGTCGAAGTTGTAGCTTGTTGCGACGAGGCGGTGACTTGGGACGTCCCCGGCTCTTGTAGCTTGTTGGGGCGGTCGGTGCCGAAGGTGGGAGCAGTGACGCGACTCCTGCTTCGGCCTCGAACGCCGAAGGCTCTGCTCCCTCTTTGCTGGCCATCTCGCCTTCGTTGCCGCTCTCCTTTCGCTTAGCAACTCTCTCCTTAGCGATTATCTTTGGTGGCATTAGTGGCTTCGCTCTTGCTCTCAGTGGTTCGCTCGGAGGTCCCCACGGACGACGCCAGCTGTCGTCGAATGACAACTGCGTCACATCGAACGACATGGTTCTCTCAACAGTAGTTGGAAGTAAAAAACGATTGTATTACTTAGTGAGAATTTTTTTTGGGAATCCCCCTATTACATGGCCCTAAAAGGCTATTTATAGTCCTATTACAGGCTCTCACTCCTCTCTAGGGTTTAGGATTACATGGGAATTTACATGGCTGCCCTTATGATAGGGACATTATTGAGGGCATACTATGTCCTTTACATATATGGGCTCTTAACGGGCCAACAAGCTTGGCCCGACCCATGGCGAAAGGGCCCCCAGGCGCATGGCTGCCCACTGGGCCTTCTTCGTCCAGGGCCTATCTTGGCGACGCCAATATGCTTCGTCAAATGCCCTTCGCCGTATACCCTTCGCCCTTGTGGCCTTTCGGACGGCGAAGCTCGAAGCCAGGCCCTTGATCTTCGCCCAGGTGCTTCGCCACACCGCCTTTGTCGTGTGCCTTCGCCTTGGTCGAAGTTGACGCCACTCGCTTACCCTTCGTTACGTTAGATGGATGGTTTCGACAGGTCTGGCCGAAGGTCCTCGTGGTATACCTCCAACAAGTTGCAAATGACTCTTATGCCCTTGATGATTTAGATTTGAATATAAGCTCAAAAAATGATTGAAAATTTTAAGTGCACAATATGTGTATTTTATGAAACTAATGAGACTAAACAATTAGTGCAGAAAATTTTTGACATAAATTTTAAAAATAAAAAATATAAAAAATTATAATTTTTATTTGAAATTATAGGACAATGGATTTTTTTTTTGATCGGGAGCATTCGTGGAAAAATATTGTGAACATTGGTAATCCTATCTTTCTATGAATGCTCCTCATTTTTATGACTTTTTAAAAATAAATTAAATAAATATTTTTATTTCATTATCTAAAAATAAATTGTCATAAATAATGTACCGCACAACAAACTCAGAACTATAATAGTCTCATGTGATAAACTTCTACATTTTCAATAATGTAATTCATAAATTTCTTTGTTCATCCAAAGGGTAAAATGGTCATTTTTATAGAAATTAGATGGTCAACTATCGGTCAACTAACGGGAGGGGTATGAAAGGGATCAAAATCAAATTTTAGGGGCATACAAGGAAGTAAGGGGCATAGGAGGGATTAGCTAAAATTGCAGGGGTATTGAAGAGATTATCTCTATAGTTATGTCCTTAAAATGTTTTTTTTATAAATTGCACTAGCGGTCCTTAAACTTGTCACGAGGTTTCACTTAGATCCACAAACTTGCAAAACACGCATCGAGATTCCTGAACTTGCTTTAATGTATCATCCCTGTCCAAAGCCTCGTTTGACCGTGGTCTTGCACGTGGCATGCTAAGTGGATGATGACATGTATTTTTTTATTTTTTTCTCCCTTTTTCCTTCTTTTTTACTCCCTTCTTATCCTTTTTTTTTCTCCACATTGCCTCCTTCCTCTCCCTTCTACCGCTGACAGGTGGGCGAGGGGGCGGGGTGGCCGGTGGCGGCAACGACGTTGTCGACGGGAAGGAGGAGGAGGGGAAGGGAAGGTGCCCGCTCCGGCCGGCCGCGGGCGCGTGCGGCAAGCAGCTGCGGCAGCTGCTGAAGTTCGATGAGCTCGCCTCCTCTTTCGCGGAGCTCATTGTTGGGTCCTGCCGCCAAGATACAGCCGTCGAGCTTGCGCCCGCCCCGCTCGCGCCGAGCTCACCGACCCCTCCCCGCAAGCGCGGCCGGTGACCCTTCCCTCCGGGCGCAGCCGGCGACATCTCCCCCACGCGCGCCTCTGCCGTTTCCGCATGAATGACGCACCGCCGCCCATCAAAGTGCGCCGCCTCCCCTCCGGCGTCGGTTGCAAGACCGCGCCACCCGCTCCTCACTGTCGTCGTCGTCGTCTTGGGCGGCGGCGGGAGAGGAAGTAGAGAGAGCAATCGGATGTGGCCGCAGTGGGAGGAGAGGAGCCGCGGGCGGCGGCCGCCTCTCCCTCTCCTCCCCTCTAGGCCTCCGCCTGCGGCTCCTCTCCTCCCGCCAGCCGGCGCCCGCGCATGCCCGCCGCTCCTCTCTTCCCGCCGGCCGCCGGCCGCGCACGCACGCTGACCGTCGCCAAAAATCTCGTACTCCACACAAGGTGAGGATGGAGAGGAAAAGGTGAGGAGAAAAAAAGGAAAAAGAAAATTTAGCCATGTCATCGTCCACGTGACATGCCACATAGGCAAGATCACGGTCAAACCATGTTTTGGACCGGAATGATACATTAAATCAAGTTTAAGGATCTTGATGCACGTTTTGCAAATTCGTGGACCTAAGTAAAACTTCCCGCTTGTGTATTTTAGTCATGTTTTTTTAATTTCTATACATTTTTTCAAGATAATGAAATCGGTTTTTATTTCCGGCCTCTACCGACACGCACACAGAAAAAAAGAATCTATACATAGAGTTATGCAATGTTTATGAACATATTTTTTGATGAAATGAATGGGCAAAGACAAATATATCACAAGGTGCTACCTATCTGTGAACAAAGAGTGCAGGTGGATCTGCACTAGTGCGTACCTTTTGTCCGCGATGAATCTTCTGGTTTTCTCAACGAGTACTTGCACTGTTGACCCGGTGGTGGCATAAGGTTGATGGGTGAGTCCACTAAGGATATTATCCAAGATCTTTAGAACATCAGGATTTTGTCCCACTGATACGAAAGCAGAGCAGTCGAACTCCGGCTTGAGATGATGATAGACTTGGTTTGCTAGAGTTGTCTTGCCCAATCCTCCAAGACCAACAATAGAGACCACCACCAGCTTCTTTGATGGTTCAGGTTCATCTTCAATGCGCAACATCTTAATTAGTTCTAGTTTTGGCCCATCCAGACCTACAAGATGTGAAGCGTCCACATATAAAGCTGTTACCCTTGAGTCGATCTTGATCGGGTCGTATGTTACATGACGGTCATCACTGAGCTTGAATCTGTTCATCCTTTCGTTGAGCTCCTCGACTGGCATCTTGATATCTTGGATCACCTTAACAATCCCATTGGTGCTACCCTTGATCTTCGTTAACAAGATCTTGAAGAGCTTCTTACAGCTACCCGGTTCAGCAGCAGATTTGACAAGAAACCTGTCAAGACTATCCTCCATGTCATAGGACAGCTCCCGTAAATCCATCATCCAGGCTTCTTGTAACGCATCAAGATTCTTCTCATCTTCGAGCGACAATTTCTCAAAGCAGGCATGGACAGATTCAAGAGCATCAATCAGAGGCTTTACCTTGCTACGCACCCGTATGAAATCCTTGCGCTCGTCGGACAGCAACGCCGCAAGCTTCTTGCGGACGGAACGATTTGACCCCATTGCCGCGCTCACTTCCGCCATCTCCTCAATGGTGCCTCTCGGAGGTCAGAGCGAGATCGCTCGGTTTTCTCTCCTGGATGGGAAATGGGGAATTGGGGATGGGTCTGCGGTAGCGTTGTGTCGGCGGAGGCTGGAAATAATGGGAAACATCGCCGCGTGCCCGAGGGGGAAGACGAATGGAACACCTACTGACGGAAATGATTAGTTTAAAGACCAAAATGCCTCGTACATAGCAAAACACTCACGTTGTCCTAAAATATAAAAAAACACATATGCAGTTTTTTAATGATAAAAATAAGGAGATGAAATTTAATGCAAGATAGTTGTGATTAGTTAATATGCGTAGTCTTAAAGAAATTTAATGAGATACGGTTATAACCAGTTGAAACGTTAAATTAGATACATAAGGTTATTCTCCCTCCATCACTAAAAGACGAGATAAACGTACCAGACATGACACGTTCTAATATTATGAATCTAAATATATCTATTTAACATAAATTTTATAAAAAAAGTTTTTATATTTTGATATCGAGTCAGTACGTCTTATTGCCAAATGATTGATACTGGTGTTTTGCCATTATCACCACCACTATCACATAAAACCATGATATAATTGGCCACAGTATAAATTAAATATGATACGGATAATTTATGAGATAATTGTATAAATATGATAGGATGGTTATTGAGTGAGAATAATTTTATTTTGCTCTTTGGGTTTTATTGTAATCCTGTTACAGTGTAGGGTAATTTACCTACTTAAAAATAAAAGATTTTTATCTCTCTATTTAAATAAGGGATGGTTGAGGGTGGAGGACTGGAGGGTAGGGAGAGTGGTTGGGTAAGATAAGAAGTTAGAATAAGATGCCTCACTTTAGAATCCTTGTATTTATAGGACAAACTTTATACATTTGCGTACTTTTATTTTTGAGTAACTTTTACATTTGTGGACAAGTCGTTGTTTCCAAGGTAAGATCTCGATGTCTAATATCTGGATCACAAGTTTGTCTTAAGAGCAAGTTTAATAGTATAGTCCATTGTTGGCTCCAATTCATCTATAACCAATCTAAAAGCCAATTCATACAATAATTGTTTACTGTACTATTAGTATATGGTCTCACATGTCATACACACATTGCGTCTTGGAGTCCGTGCTGCAGCTGGCTACAGATTTGTAGCCCGCTGCTCTTCTCTCTTATCTTTTATCTCATTAAAATATGTTTATAGCTGACTAACAGTCTACTATTGTACCTGCTCTAATTAGTTATTTTTGAGTAAGGCCCAGTTTAGTTCACAAATTTTTTTTCCCAAAAACATCACATCGAATCTTTGGACACATACATGGAGTATTAAATGTGGACAAAAAGAAAAACCAATTGCACAGTTTAGCTATAAATAGCGAGACGAATCTTTTGAGCCTAATTAGGCCATGATTAGCCATAAGTGCTATAGTAACTCACACGTGCTAACGACAGCTTAAGTAGGCTCAAAAGATTCGTCTCGTGGTTTCCAGGCGAGCTCTAAAATTAGTTTTTTCATTCGTGTCCGAAATCCCCTTCCGACATCCGGTCAAACGTTCGATGTGACACCAAAAAATTTTCCCTTGTAGGATCGAATCACAATAACTAAGCCAACCAGAGGGGGGGTGAATGGTTGATATACCCAAAAACCGAAAAATTTTAGCGGAAATAAAAGTTACCCGCGAAATCGATGGAGGTCGGTCTGACCGAGATTGATCTGTCGGTCTGACCGGGTGAATGCCGCTGGTCTGACCTGTGTTGAATCTCCAATCTGACCGCCGAAGTCGCCTGCCGCGCTTGTCGCCGCTGCCAGTTTGACCGCCGCTTGCCGCCAGTCTGACCGCCGGTATATCGCCGGTTAAACCGCCGAAACCCGGTGAAACACAAATCGAAGAACTCTTAAAGTAGATGACGACTTTATTGATTCTCTCTGTGTTTACAAAGTGCACCAACAGCACTCCTTATAAAAATTTCGACTAAACTCGAAACCCTAACTCAAAACTCAACTCAATTGCTCTCAAAAGCGATACCGGGAAGCCTCACGCTCCCTCTCTATTTATACCCGAGGTAGGCAGCCTAAAGCCACAAACCAAACTCATACTAAGAGTCCTAAACACCTTAGGAAACCCTCTAGTATAAGAAACAAACTTTACATAACCACTCATACCAAATTTAGACTCCTTCCAAATTCGACACCACATCCCATACGCACACAATAACTCCATCGTATGCCATATAGAATCTCCATCAACACCGTGCATCAACTCTAGCCTAAGTATCCCGCATGATCTCTGACCACCACGGACATCGTCTTATCCCCAAGCCGACTCCCGGTCCATCACCGCAAATACTCTCCCGAGACATTGAGTCACCTACACATGAAATAAACAAAGAAACCATATTCCGAGACCAAGCTATCTCCAACTTGACTCATTAGTAGCAAACAATAGTATTACATACGTATAGTATCCATCTAGAAGCCATAATCATGAAATAATCACGGATATCCAAATAAACAACCCGAAACCGAAATCGACTCAGAGTCGGCTGGTCAGACCGCGCGATACACGCCGGTCTGACCGGCAGCACATGCCCGGTCTGACCGGTCCACAATCCCAGCATTACCTGTAGATCACCTGTGAAATCCAATCATCTCCAAAACCACTTCGAAAATAAATTCCAAATAACAAAACCAACAATCTCCAATGCCTAATTGATCGTCACAGAATAATAATCAAAAACACCTTTGATTTTACAATCTCCCCCTTGATGAACACATTGGCAAACCCATCAAAAATGTTTTGATGCTTGGAAAAATAAAAACAAAAGTGGTAAAAAGCACACTTCGTACAAACGTACACATCGTGCTCAAAAATCCAAAAGAAAACTTCTCCCCCTTTTTAAAAGAAAGAAATTCCCAATTTCCAAAAATTTCACCTTGCTTCTCCCAAAACTCATGTCTTCTCCCCCTTTTGACAATGATTTCATCAAGCATAGGAATTATGTTCATTAATGTTTAAGAGCTTTAGTATACATATAGCATATCATGTCATGTGGCGCAATAAAAAGAAGATGAACCCATCTATAATATAACAAGTATATATTAAAGTATAAGCATGAACCAAAGATTTTACAATTAAGCTTGAATCAACAATCAAAATTCATGATTTCATACGATTTATAATGCAACATTTTAACAAGCACATAGGTTGAAGAATAAACACTAAACACATATACCTATTGCATTTATCACTATTTCTCAAATAACCTTTAGCACAAAATAACCAAGAGAATTTTTTAACTTTTTCTTTTCTTGAGCCTTTTTGCTCATCTTTTTCTCTTTTATTCCGGGTACGTCCCTATCGTCAAGACTGTTTCCAGAGATTCGGCACCCATTTTTTGCTCACATCGAATACGTCCTTGTCGTCAAGACTGTTTCCAAGGATTTGGTATTCATTTTTTTCATATTTTTATTCTCTTTTTCACAATGAGCAATTAAAGCTATTTGAGAAATAACAAGTCAATAAAGCATATATATATAAAGCATTTAGAAATCAAACCATATGCTAGCATCAACATTGCATATTTGCTTAATTCAAGTAGAATTTAAGTGTCATGCATCATCTCCCTTAAAAGCAAAATCTAAATCTCATGAAAAGACTAGAATACATACAAGCTATGCTAGAGACAAATAAACCTTCAAAGTATTGCTAGCATGCACAAGAAAATACCATATGCATAAACAAAGCTCTCTTTTCTCAATTTTTCTTATTGTCATATTACTGCTTGATAAAACCATGAGGTACAAACTCCCCCTCAAACCATGCCAAAAGGATGAATTATTCCCAATTCACCACGAAGAAAAGCAAATCGATTAGAATCCAAAAGTTTAGTGAAAATATCAGCAAGTTGCAACTTAGTGTCCAAAAACTGCAATTCAACATCTCCCTTCTTAACATGATCCCTCAAAAACTGAAAACGAATATCAATGTGCTTTGTGCGTGAGTGTTGAACAGGATTCTTAGCAATGTTAATAGCACTTGTATTATCACAAAAGAGAGATACTTTCTCAAAAGTAAGACCATAATCTTTCAAAGTAGATAAAAGCCAAAGAATCTATGAACAACAACTAGCAGCAGCAATATATTCAGATTCAGCAGTTGATTGAGCAACACTTGATTGTTTCCTAGAAGACCATGCAATCAATGATATACCAAGAAAATAACATATTCCACTAGTACTTTTCCTATCAATTCTACAACCGCCAAAATCAGCATCAGAATATCCACTCAAGCATATAGATGATGAAGTAGAATACCAAATTCCAAACTCAAGTGTATGATTCAAATACCTCATTATTCGCTTGACCGCTTGACGATGTGAAGCACGAGGAGAAGCTTGAAAGCGTGCACACAAACACACAGCAAATGGTATGTCTGGCCTAGAAGTAGTTAGATACAACAAAGATCCAATCATACTTCTATATTCCTTTTGATCAACAGCTTCACCATCTTCATCAGGATCCAACATAGCTGTAGAACCAATTGGTGTTAAAATTGGCTTGCAATTCTCCATCTTGAACCGTCTCAAAAGATCCTTCGTATACTTCGTTTGATGCACAAAAGTACCTTGAGGTGTTTGCTTAATTTGCAATCCCAAAAAGTACGATAACTCACCCATCATGCTCATCTCAAATTCCCTGTGCATAGTCTCAGCAAACTCCACAACCAAAGCGTGAGATGAACAACCAAAGATGATATCATCAACATAAATCTGAACAAAAAGTTGATTATCACTATGCTTAAGAACAAAAAGCGTTTTGTCAACCTTTCCCATTATAAAACCTTTCGCAAGCAAAAAGTTCTTAAGCCTATCATACCATGCTCTAGGAGCTTGTTTCAAGCCATACAAAGCTTTAGACAATTTGAAAACATGGTTGGAAAAATCAAGATTTTCAAAACCTGGTGGTTGTTTGACATAAACTTCCTCCTGTATAAAACCATTTAGAAAATCACTTTTTACATCCATTTGATACAATTTAAAACCTTTTGAAGCAGCAAAAGCCAACAAAAGTCTAATTGCCTCAATTCTAGCAATAGGAGCAAAAGTTTCATCAAAATCCAAACCCTCCACCTGGGTAAAACCTTGAGCAACAAGTCTAGCTTTATTTCT